ATGAATGAGTTATTTCCCCTTGGAAGATACCGCACAAAGTAGAAAGAGTGACGGTCTTCAGTAATTTAATCTAAGTTTAAACTCACCTTTGAGAGTTTCATGTTGTTTTCGTGCGTATTCAATGTGAATAGAGATGTCGAATTGTCTCCTGAATTATTTTCGCGGTCTTTTATAGAAGCACATTGTTATCAATATTACTAAATTCAATTCCTTTTTTCTTTGGACAAATATTGTATTAGGCATAATAATACGTAGTATGTAAATAACCTGTCATGTAAATATTAATTGTTATTTTTATTTGAATCTGAAATTTTAATTTATGTATTCGATAATATTATCTAACTCAATGTTGAATTGAGGCCGAGGCAAGCCTCTTAATAGACGCCGTTGACCCAATTTTCGACATTTTTATGTCAAAATTAAATAAAAATCTAATATATAAAATTCTCGTGTCACGGGGTGCGTGATTGAACTCCTCCGAAACGGCTCAACCGATTTTCGTGAATCTTAGCGTGCATATCGGTCAGGGTGAAGAATCAAAGAACATCTATTTTTCATCCCACTATATCTTAAGGGTGGTCCACCCCTAAATTTTTCATTTTATTTTTTAGACAAAAAAATTTGTTTTTTATTTTATGATACAGCATACAAAAATACATACAACCCTAAATTTTCACCCCTCTACGATCAACCGTTATTTTTTATTTGTTAATTAAAAACTTTTTTTTACAAGAATTTTGTTTTTATTTTGTCTTGACTTACAATAAAAAAAATCATATTACTCTGAATTTCAAGACAAGACAAGATTTTCATTTTTATTTTTATTTTGTCATGAATTAAAATAAAAAAAACTGATGTTACATTTGATGACAAGTTTATTTCAAAAAAAAAGTTATGTTAATGCAATAGCTATTAGGATAAGAAGATAATGTCTGAATGTATATCGAGGTCACTACATTCGGCATTGGACAAAAATAGTTATCTCTACAACATTTACATAAAAACATATTCTCAATAAATAGTATTTAAATAAATTACAACATTTCTTTACAAATATTATTATCAACTGTATAAATACAAAATAAATGAAATAATTACAATTGAATATTAATTATATAAATTAGGCAATAATGTCCCATTCTCTGATGACAATCACAAGGAAATGTCGCGGCGATAGTATAAAAATGCTTACCATAAATAGCGATCATTTTCGTCAAGGAATTTTTTTTTTTCATTTCTTAAAGGGGTGAACGAGCTTACAGCCCAGCTGGTGTTAAGTGGCTGCTGGAGCCCATAGACATCTACAACGTAAATGCGCCACCCACCTTGAGATACAAGTTCTAAGGTTCCAAGTATAGTTTTTATTTATTTATTATTTATTGCTTAGATGGGTGGACGACCTCACAGGCCACCTGATGTTAACTGGTTACTAAAATCCCTAGACATCTACAACGACATGCGCCACCCACTTGAGATATAAGTTCTAAGTTCTCAGTGTAGTTACAATGGCTGCCCAGCCTTTCAAGCCGAAACGCATTACTGCTTCACGGCAGAAATAGGCGGGGTGGTAGTACCTACCCGTGCGGACTCACAAGAGGTCCTACCACCAGTAATTACGCAAATTATAATTTTGCGGGTTTGATTTTTATTACACGATGTTATTCCTTCACCGTGGAAGTCAATCGTGAACATTTGTTAAGTACGTATTTCATTAGAAAAATTGGTACCCGCCTGCGGGATTCGAACACCGATACATCGCTAGATACGAATGCACCGGACGACTTATCCTTTAGGCCACGACGACTTCAAGTTACGAATTATGATGATTATTAAGATTACCGTATTTATTATAATAATTACAATAAGAAAAAAACGATAACAAATTATACTAACAATAATTATTTTATTGCTTATTATTTATTTTTGCGTTAAAATAACAAATGTATTTTAATATATTTAGATTGTACTTGCAATTGTACTTTTAAAATTTTATGATTCTCGCCAACATGCGACTAATTCATTTTTTGTAGAGTTACTTACGGTCATTTCATAATAAAGCTAAATCTACGAATAGGCTGTAACGTAGAAATATTCAAAACATTTAAAATTCTCTATTAATGATAAAGTATAAAATAGAATTGTAATGAAATTTTACGAGGCATTCTCTGGCGGTATCGGTGTAGACTTGATCTTCTTACAGAATATTTAAAAAAAAAAACCATGGATTCAGTTGCGGTAAGCTAATTTAGTTTTTCGATTACTTTGTCTTAAGTAAGCGCAGTAAGTAGTGGTCCGTCTGTTACCGTGATTGCTGATGTCCACGGGCGACGGTGACCACTGAATATATTCGGAATTATTATCGCCGAGCTTTTCATTGACTGGGCCGATGGAGTGATGGTTAGCGCTCCTGATTGTCAGGTCAGGAGTTGTGGGCCTTATATACCCACTTCGGGCAAGCATTCGCGTGATGAGCTGATTTGTTTTTTTTTTTCTCAGGTGGGTGGACGAGCTCACAGCCCACCTGGTGCTAAGTGGTTACTGGAGCCCATGGACATCTACAACGTAAATGCGCCACCCACCTTGAGATATAAGTTCTAAGGTATTTACAGCACAACGGCTGCCCCACCCTTCAAACCGAAATGCATTACTGCTTCACGGCAGGAAGGGTGGAGGTACCTACTTTGGGCAAACATTTGTGTGATGAGCTGGTTTGGTTTTTTTTTTCATAGTTTGATGAACTCACATCCCGCCTGGTGTTTAATGGAGCCCATAGACATCTACAACTTAAATGCACCACCCACCTTGAGATATAAGTTCTGAGGTCTCAGTATAGTTACAAAGGCTGCCCCACCCTTCAAACCGAAACGCATTGCTGCTTCACGGCTGAAATAGGCAGGGTGGTGGTACCTACCCGTGCAAACTCACAAGAGGTCCTACCACCAGTAAAACTGTATGATGTCCGTCTATATCTATTTAACTATGTTGAAATGTTACCTTGTTTCTAGTGAAATAATTAGGTATATTTTAGTAGGTAAATTTACTGCTGGTACTCTGCATACAAAATTGCGTTAACTTTTACGCTATCGAGAACGTTAAAAAGCTCGCACCAAGCACACTGGACAATAATGAGATAATTGTTTATTTTATTTTCAGTTCCTAGTTTGTATGTCCGCATTTGTAGCGGCCATGATCCAGATCGAGATTTCCGGGTCATTAGTTAATATTATTAGCGATCTGCTCGGGAGCGTAACTGAAGCGCTTTAAAATAAATATGTCATGAATCAATGTGTTGTTTTATTTGAGTGAAATATTCTCTAATTCACATTCTATTTCACGAATTGCTACCGGCTCTTTCATGTCTCATGGGAGATAAACTTCTGAGGCAAATGACGTTAAGCTCTTAGGCAGTGGCAGATTAAAGGTCCAGAGCGCCCTAGGCAATCACTTTATCGGCGCCCCTGTACCGGCCATAAATGGCCATCATAATACTATAAATTTTAACTAGTTGTTTTTGCAATTACGATGACGTTGTATCATCAAACCCTAGACTTTAGTAGACCAGGACCCTTGTACTTACGCTAATGCGCGAATGAAATATGTCGTTATAACTGAGAAGAAATCAAGAGGGACGACAGAAGATTTAGATTATAGATCAGCATTTAGTTCTTAATCGTCGATATGTTATTTTCTTTATTTATTTAAAAACTCTGAGGCCCCCCTTATAACTACACGCCCCTAGGCACATGCCTAGTTTGCCTTACGGATAATCCGCCTCTACCCTTAGGCAGTACAATGTGAGCTCTGACCATCGTAAATTCTCAGCGACTTTAAAGACTTAATTAATAGATGATAATGGCCATCCCACCCTTCACGGTGGCAGGCACTACTGGCAGGTTTTGCAGAATAAGCATGATGCTAGTACTTTATGAAGTCGTCGTGGCCTAAAGGATAAGACGTCCGGCGCATTCGTGTTGAGCGATGCACTGGTGCTCGAATCCCGCAGGCGGGTACTAATTTTTATAATGAAGTACGTACTCAACAAATGTTCACGATTGACTTCCACGGTGAAGGAATAACATCGTGTAATAAAAATCAAACCCGCAAAATTATAATTTGCGTAATTACTGGTGGTAGGACCTCTTGTGAGTCCGCACGGGTAGGTACCACCACCCTGCCTATTTCTGCCGTGAAGCAGTAATGCGTTTCCGTTTGAAGGGTGGGGCAGCCGTTGTAACTATACTGAGACCTTAGAACTGATATCTCAGGTGGGTGACGCATTTACGTCGTAGATGTCTATGGGCTCCAGTAACCACTTAACACCAGGTGGGCTGTGAGCTCGTCCACCTGTCTAAGCAATAAAAAAAAACCTTTAAGATGCTGTCATAATTCTGAAGAAACTTTTAATTGGTAGTTAGTGGGTGGGTCAACACTTCCACAGCCAGATGTATCTACGGTATCCATCCAAGTGCAAGTGTTAGGTTAGGGATTTTAACATTTATGAAAAGTCAATGCCGGTTTTTTCCAGGAATAATGTATTACCATTAGTTCTACATAAAAATTAAGGTACATGGCTTTATTAGTTATTCTCTGGTGAGGCCCTGATGAATTGATTAACCAACCCGGACTCGACTTCTAAGTGGTGTCAAAGCTGCTTGGCAATAAAAAACGGATAAACCACTAATTAAATGGCTATAAAGAACATTGGTAATTAAAAACAGTGAGTTATCTCCTACTTTCCTATCTTCATACATGAGATCGAAGGAACAATTGTAGACTCAATGGTATATCATAATGGCTGCCTCTCCAGTTAAACAGGGCCAATAACTGCTTCACGGCAGACCTACCAGTACGCAACGTGCATCGTATCACCAATAATGAAATGAAGTGTTCGGTTTTCAGGGTGCAATCCCCTAATTGGGAAAATCCTTTCCGAAGGCGTCATATTTGCAAATTCATCTCATCTCTTGATAAGAATACACAGGGGTGCTGTATATAATAATATTTAAATCTATAATTAAGTTAATTTAATCTTGTTCTTTGCCGTCAGTATCACTATCCGAATCACTGTCCACGTCACCTTCAGCTTGGCCCTCGGCATCTCCACCCTTGGTACCATCACTATTGCCTTGAGCAACAACAGGTCCACTATCTTCATCAGAGCCACCACCATTTCCTTCATCATCACGTTACTATTTAGTATCACTGCCATTAGATCGATCACCGCTATCACTGTCAGCTTCATCGTTTTCGTCTAAAAGCGATGAAGCAACTGCAGTTACGATCTCACCGTCTCCTGCCGCTGCGGCCACTGCATTGCCCTGACCTGCGGCAGCTACGGCAGCACCGTCACTGGATAAGGCTCCGGCTGCGGCAGTGTGTTTTCCAGAGATCGCAAACGCCGTTGCATCGCCGTCTTCGTCCGGTAAATCCAGAGACGCCACTAAAGGGCCATCGCTCCTGCCCAGGGTGATCGCCGGAGCTGACTTTACGAAGTACACAGCAATAATTGTGAAAATCTGTAATCGAATCCGCATTTAAAATACAAAATTTTGTAGAATCTCTAGTTAAATGAAAATTTATACGAACATATTATATAGATAATAGGAAAACCAACGATCCTTTATCTTCGAAATCCTTGTCTTGGCTAAGTCCTCTACACTTTATGATAATTTAATATGTTATCAAGTTCTTCGGGCACATCACTCGTAATGAGGATTCCATTGAGCGGTTGGTGGTGCAAGGGAAAGTCGAGGGCAAAAGATCTCGCGGACGATCTTCAACACGATGGACCGACCTCATAAAATCTGTGACTCACTTCAACATAACGATTGCTCTCACTCTGCGAAACACCGTGCCACATGGCATTGGTATCGCAGGATCCGACTAATGCATGACCACGACCACTCTGTCAAGTTTTACTGGTGGTAGGACCACTTGTGAGTCCGCGCGGGTAGGTACCACCACCCTGCCTATTTCTGCCGTGAAGCAGTAATGCGTTTCGGTTTAAAGGGCGGGGCAGCCGTTGTAACTATACTGAGATCTTAGAACTTATATCTCAAGGTGGGTGGCGCATTTACGTTGTAGATGTCTATGGGCTTCAGTAACCACTTAACACCAGGTGGGCTGTGAGCTCGTCCACCCATCTAAGCAATAAAAAAAAAGTGTACGAATAGGAAGTATATAAAAATTAGTATGTCGAATATGGGTTCTTGTTTATATTGTTCATCTGACTTAAAATTATTGGCTGGTAATAAGTAAGTCGTCATAGTATAAGCAAAAGAGGACAAGTGGCGCGGGGTGAGCTAATTGTTGATTTTCACACGTTTTGGATCACAGTGCAGAGCCACGACAGTTTCACTAACGATTTATGAATTATTTTTCGTCATAGGTAATTGCGGTAGGCAGCTTGGCTCTGCCCCTGGCATTGCTGAAGTCCATGGGCGACGGTAACCACTCACCATCAGGTGGGCCGTATGCTCGTCTGCCTACAAGGGCAATTAAAAAAAAACGTAAAACGTAGCGCAATTAAACATGAGGCTATTATTTGGTATTCACTTCAGACTGGTCAAAATGTCTGACTAAGGCTGAACACATCAATATATTGTAAATACAATGCAAACTCACCACAACAAACCTCATTTTGATTTACCTTTCTTTAGTAAGCTCAAGCTTTTATAACGTTCATTGAAATGTTGGTGGTGACAATGTATTTATTATTCTTTTATAGGCATAAAATGCAATGAGCCTTGTTCTCTTTAGAAAGCCATAACAGAATTTGACATCAGCAGTTTATTATTAACATTTGCACAAACAATTATTGTTATTTATAATAGAATAGAAGTGCATTAATAGCTGGTGTTTTTTTTTTACATATTTTAAATATTAATCCATTATTTCACAATATTTTTGCATCAGGCTAGTAACATATTGTGACGCCAAGTATAGATATCACAATCCTGTTTATTTCCACCGTAATGAAGCTATACTTTCCTTATCAAAGCTTAATCATTTCAAATTGAGACTTTGACGACATCTCAAGGTTGGTAGCAAGATGCACGTTCTGACACCGGTAATAGCAAAGGGGTTGGGACCCAAACAAAAAACTTAAACCTAAATTTGTAATTAAGCAAATTAATAAAAACTTAAATGAATATGGTTTTATTGTAACAGACACTAGACAAGCTGGCTCAATCCTCTTTATCGCCACTACTCTTCGATTTGCTAATGGTTCTCCCTTTGTCTTCGCCTTCTGGACCTCTATCGTCGCCAGGCTCATCCACCGCCGCGGCAGTTGTTACAGCCGCCTCCTTACCAACTGCTTTGGCTGAAGCGATGGCTATCGAACCGCTACCACCTTCAGAGATAGGCGCGCCTATTGCGATAGCCTTGCCACTAGCCATTTTTGGATCAGCTCTCAAACTTGTAATGCATGTTGACGCAACTATACTGAAAATCTGTAACCAATACACGTGTGATTTGGAGTTAATCTCGATTTTGCTTTAGTCGGGTCAATGAGGTCCTCCTGATGGGATGGGAACTATCTAAGATTTTCGGAGCATATGTACATCAAGACGCGGATGCCACAGCCTACCTTGGGCCATGAGAATTAAGGCTAGAAATATAAATACCTAAATACAAACCTAAAACGAACTGGCAAGGTCGTCAACTAAGCTGGATATTTTTACTTATAGGTTAGTGACGTTTATAATAAATAATAGTTAAAAAAAAACTAAAAAACACGCTTTATATAAAATTCAACTACAAAATATATGTAAAAAAAGCATGGGGTGCTTTTTATGATATTGTTTTAACAATAATTCTTCTACTCATATCTATTAGAAAAATATTTATAACTAATAACACCATACATACCGCGCTTTTTTTTTCAATTTTTTAGTTGAATTTCAATTTTTTTTTCATTTCTTATTTTCCTATTATTTTTTTTAATATTGAATTGTCATCGGTCCTCGATAAATCTACAAAGTTTGAATGAAATCTGGCCGTTTAAAGTGGGTCAAAATCGCGTCTAAAGGAGTCAGTTACAAACATACATACAAGTGAAGCTAATATTTTTGTGTATAATGACATAAGAGCCCTTTCTCATGTAGAAGTCTTATGAAATAATGTGAAATTGTAGGCTTAAGGCTTCCTGGAAATAATTCCTTTGCTAATGTGAAGAAAGGCTTGGGTTTTGCCTAAAAAAACTTAAAGCGTGTAAAAATGTTCAAGGGCACCCCCCACATTAATAATAGGTTAAGTAGTGTAATTGTTTAATTGTATATTGTGAATAATATTATTTTCTACCATTATAAGTAAGATTAGTTTTCGTTATCGCGTTGTTTTGTCGTAATTAACATTGTGTACAAATTCAGCACTGTCTTGTTTGGTCGTGCGCACATGGCTTATTGTTGCAAGCCAGATTTTGTTTCTTTTTTACTTGTGTTTTTATAATAATAATAATAATAATGTTTTTATTTCAAGTAACCATGACTCATATAAATTGTTAATAAGACTTGGACCTATGTTAGTAGTTATATTTACATCACAATGAATTACTGTGGTAACATCCCATTATGTATCTTTTTAGCTTGTGATGTGTATTGTGTGCCTAATAAATAAAATAAAATAAATGTGCAGAGCATTACAAATGCATTATCAATAAACTCACCAACAAGTGTTTCATTGTAATATACTTTATTTGAAACAGAAATAACAGAATCCGTTGCTTTTCATACAGAGCGTGGTGACACTGAAGTAATTTATTGCTGTTTTGTTCAATAAGTTGTTAATCATTCGCACTGACTGGCTTCGATCAGCCAAAGATCTACTGTGATCAAATTTTATTATACCGGCGTCGGTAATGTTCCGAAAATCAAGAAATAATTATCTTTTAAATCTTGCGAACGAATTTTGAGAACATCACAAAATTCATAACGCGGCCTGCTACATATTATTTATTAGGGATTTTTTTACCTTGTAACTAAATCATGTCTTATTTTAATTTATATTCTTATTTTTATGAAAAATGATATTATGAAATGAAATGAAATGAAGATGATTAATTTGAGACACTAATCAACTGGGATGAAATTAAATGAAAGGAGATGAGATGATATGGGATGAAATATAATCTGAGAAAAATGGTGGTCATTTACTGAGATTTTTTCCGTGGACTTTTTGAAGGATCCCGAGAAGTTACGTCCAGCGGCTTTGTTTCATTTTTCCACATTTGTGCATTTTCACAGATATTAAACAGTTAATACGCCACAGGGATTACACATTTAAACCCGAAGAAACACTAAATAGACAAAATAAAACAAATCACACAACTTCACTCCTCGCGTTCCCGTCAAAAAATCACGCGGCCTGCTAAGTATCAAGGGGAATAGATCTGTAATAGGATTGACATGGTTATTTCATTCCGATAGAGGCACCCGTCACGTGCGGACGTGCTCATCGACCACTCGATCGCCCGGTCTTTGTTCGCCCGGCTTTTGTTAGCCCGGCCATTGTTCGCGCGGCCTGTGTTCGTGGTACATCTGCCGACTAAGTGCTCTTCCTGGAAGTTTTTATTTGTTTTGTTTCCTTTTGTTGTTTCTGTGTTCGTGGTACA